ATGCGAAATGACTAAGAACTTGCTTTCTTTTTCCAAATAATAAGCGCAAGGTGTGAAGATTCGGAAAAATTTCAAGAAGTTATCTATTACCACTCGTTGATCGAAAGATGATAAAAAAAAAAAAAAAAGAAAAGAAAAAATTTTGCGAGCACTCTTAATCTCAGGGATATGTCTCGAGACTAACAACGATTTGTGCTGATTCTATGGTAATAAATTCGTGAAGATGTATTTCCAATGCTCACCTTTGAATGATTATATTATAATTCACATGAAAAAATCAAACGATCGTTGACAATGTAGACTATAAATAAAAAAAGAAAAGAAAAGAAAAGAAAAAATTAAAATAGAAAACAAGATGAGACATTTGGTAGAATGCAAGACAAGGCTCTCGGGTGAACATCGACATAGTTGAAGGTCATCGCCTCCAAGGGAGGTCTGGAATAAGACGCAAATCAAATTTGTTCTTTTTTTTTTTTTCGATTACTTGATGCGATGTATCCGCTTTTGTGGCTTGTCAGCAACGCCAAATGCTAAAAAAGGAAATCCACAGTAATGAAGAAAATTACTCACAGCGACGAGGGAAAAGGCAGACGAGTCCTTGATTTACACAAATTTGAGGACTTTATGACAATGATGAAATTATTTATGCAAATTGCCGTGACACAACGAATCTCGTTACACTGATTGGCGTCGTATGATAAAATGTCGTTATTGTTTTCTGTGTGCATACGTAGACCACAGCACGGACTGTATTATGCGTGCTGATTCGTTAGGATTTGTATGATTCACGTGAAACACTTTCTGGCGAGAAAAGATTCGTAAGAGATAATGAGATAACGAGATAGCTACCCAGATTATCGGTCTGTACGTTAGCTTGCTGCAGACGCAATCTGTTGATGACGCCATTTTATCTTATGATGGTCGAACTAGATTCATTCCGGATTCGCGACGAAAGGTGAAACGACTGTTCCGTTGATCCGGCAAAGAGAAGCTTTCTTTCGGCATGGATTCGAATTTTGAAGGGAACCTTGATGCCCATGCGCGAAATACTGTGTATATGCTATGCTTAAAATATATGCCATGCTTAAAACATATGCCATGCTTAAAATATGTGTCATGCTTATTTAAAATATAGTATATGCCATGCTTAAAATATATGTCAATGCTTAAAATATATGCCATGCTTAAAACATATGCCATGCTTAAAATATATGCCATGCTTAAAATATATGCCATGCTTAAAATATACGCCATGCTTAAAATATATGCCATGCTTCCAAATTAATTTTGTAACAAGGCTTTTTTTAGAAACTGGTCGTACAGAAAAAAAACTAATAAGATCGCTGACGCAATATGCTATCAAATATGTTTTCCTGTCTCAATGTTTTTTTATTGGCGCCCTAAGAAATCATCCGTTTCGTTCATTACACCGACCGCATATTCGCATCTTTTTCCTTGACCTAGGTAGGATGCTGCATCTCACTTACCGTCACAAAGAGAACTTGCGCATACATGGCTCGATCATTGTGAAACAAGCATTAATTACGGCATTGATACACATGAAACGAAATCCTCGAAATTAACGAATCAACTTTTGGTACACGAATTTTTTGAAATCCGAATGGTGTTCATCTAATTACCGAAGATCTATTTTTACAAAAACGTCATTAATATGGGAGACCCAATAACTCGCAGCGACAAACCAAAAATGAGATAGGATCTTATGCACCAGGGGACATACATATTGTGCTCTTTGCGAATGAAGAAATAATCCATTGTTTTGTTTAATAATGTTCTTATTCGTGGGGTATATGCGTTCTTGTTTTTTTAAGTGATTGGTGATTGGTTCCGGTCACGATTTAAGATTTGTCGTGTACCTACTCAAATCTCATGTTTATTCAAAAATTTTGATTTTCCTCATGTGAACATAAAAGAAAAGGATATTTTGGGAACAATTTATACGAGAAGTTTACGTGTGTGTGTGTGCGCTGAAAATGCATGCGTGATATTTTTATGGTCAATGTTCCGGTCAGAACGACCTCACTTTGCAGTTACCCTGCATTGACATAATGCACAAATAAACAAATGCCCCACACCAACTGTATAACCATATGAAACGTCACTTTTAGGCGGGAATGTTATTACATACAGTACGTACACTATCAAGACATTGACCGCATTTCTGAATATTTGATTGAATGATGTGATGCAATGAACATCACTTTCGGTCCTTACGCGATTTGTTCCGATTCGATGACGTACATGCAACGGTCTTTTATTGGTTTTATTGGTACCCAAATTTTCCCGACAATATACCTATAAGTTCGGAGATTATAAAATCTTAATAACAAACAAAGTTGTTGCGGCCATTATATCAATCGACTTGTGAAATTCGGTCAAGGCAATGGTACGTATGCAAATGTAATAGAATGGCATTTACAATAAGAGAAAGGTTTCATGTCGCCGAACTGTACGTGCATGCGCACCTGATTACATATATAAAAACATCCAAGTAAAACTTACCTTAAATCAGCGTGCATCCGAAAATTTTGATTCGTCCTCTAAATTGAAGGGAGCTATTTCATGAGGGCTTCATTCGTTGTCAGTTGCGGTAAGGACTTAACTGGGAAATCATCTTTCGAGACTATTTTCTCTCTACTCACTGGAGGAAATTCCATTTAATCCTTTCGACCGATTTTAATGGTGCAAATATTAAATCGAGTTATTAGTCATTTTTCTGTATTGTATTTTTCCACCTGAATATACGGCCTCAAAAAAAGATTTGTGTTAATGAATTTAATGGCATATATTTTTTAAGTTCACTTGTTAAGGCGAAATTTCTATAAATACACACTAAAGAGACGAATTATTGATTCTTTGGTCAAGAGCGAGCCCAAGATTCCCCCTGTATCTTTGCTTTCTTTTTTTTTTTTTTTGTTCCTTCCGAATCATTTTTCCCCCGTAAGCTAAAAAAAAAAAAAGAAGCTTGACACCTTACCTACCTATACTTCGTGACAAGATAAAATGAGTAAAAACAACTTACAATATATCGGCCAACCAGATTCTAACGAAAATGACTTTTGCGAAAACATACTTGACGCTTTTCGCTACATCGGAGGAAGGAGATTTCACAACGTGATAGATTCAAAGTACTTTCTACCCAATGACATCGGAGAGGTAGATCGTTTAGAAGGTCAACATTATCTCTATCGTCACATCTGGCAAGGAAACTTCTCTGCTCCCGTTCATCAGACGCTAAGAGAAAATGGCGCATGTGTTTTGGACGTCGGGTGAGTTCCGATCGCTTCAGTGATACACGTTACGCCATTCTGATTCTAACCTTTTCGTCGCGTTCTTAAAGTTGCGGTCCGGGTACGTGGGTCGTTGAAATGGCGTATGATTTCCCTTCGGCAATATTCGTTGGATTAGACATTTCACCCATATTCCCTCCGGAACAGAAAAAACCACCAAACGCCACCTTCCTCCAATTGAACATATTAGACGGTCTTCCATTCCCGGTAAATTTCCATCTCGCTTGTATGCCGGTAAATCCTTTTACTTACCGAAGAAAATAATTTATTAGGATGACACATTTGATTTTATCTACCAACGCTCTCTCGCATCGGCCATGGAAGAATCTCAGTGGAAAAGTGAAGTAATTTCCGAACTGGTTAGAGCAATCAAACCTGGCGGTTGGGTGGAAATAATGTAAGACTCGATTTTGGAATCCACAGTACATTGGTTACAACTTAATTAACGCATATCGATGTGTTCGTGTACGCACATTTTGCAGGGAGGTGGGCACCATTGTTACCGACGATGTCCAAACGCCAATCTATCATCAAGTTAACTGTGCATGTGAGCATTCTTGCTGTCTGATAAATATAAATAAATAAATAAGTATAAATATAAATATTTAGAACTCAATTGCATTCTTTTGTTTTTCGATTTTTTTAAAAGTCATAAGCTTCCTCTCCAGCCGTGACATCAATGGATCAATTAGTTCTAAGCTCGAGAGTATCATGGCTGGCGTTCATCGGCTCACAAATATCCAAAGCGAAGTTCGCGAGACTCCGGTTGGCCAATGGGGCGGAAGACTTGGAGAAATGGTATTTCATCTTTCTCATTTTATTATTATCTTTTTTTTTTTTTCTTATCTTACTATTATATTACTTTTTTTTTTTCCCACTTGTAATTAATTTCTATCTTTTTCTTTCTTTTTTTTTTAGATGTGCGAAGATGTCCTGGGTGTTTTTCTAGCCAGTAAACCCGCATTATCACAATACATGGGCATCACCAATGACAAGTTTGATTCATTGATGCAAAAAATGCGCACAGAAATCAACTCGAGCAAACTTTGTATTAAAACTTATAGGTAAAATCAATCATCATTTGAATTTATCTTTAGCACGTCCAATCGTTCCAGAGTAGCATTAACCTTTCAACTCCTCTCAACACAACACCAAACTATTTCAGATTCTATGCCCAAAAAATCTAATCAATTAAGATTTTTACGAAAAAAAAAGAAAAGAAAAAACGCAAGAACAAGATTATGTAAATGATAAAATTGCACTTATGTATAATAATAAAAATTAACCAACCTATCGAATTAAGAGAAAAATGAGAATCAACTTGCAAAAAAACTAAAATCAAGAAATCGTTCCAAAGAAACGCAATTACTTCCCTTTTTTTTTTTTCTATTTATTTGTCTATATACTGTACATGCGTTTCCTTTAAAATTTCACGCGTATTTTATTCCCCTTCGTTATCCTAAATATACTCGCGAATAACGAATAAAAAATTTTTTTTTATCTGATACCGACACGCCACACGAAATGAATTATTTACTTTCGTCACGCAAAATTTCATATGCTGTAATAAATGTATCGAGTTGACACCACTTCATTTCTACGCGTAGAGTATATTGGTATAAAGAAAATTTTTTAAATGTCACGCCATCTCTTTACCAATCAGTGATTGTGTGTCGTCAGCATAGGTGCAGTAATTAGGCACAATAACAAACCTTGCTATCCAACCCCAATAAGAAGCATCCTGCTCATAAATTTGGATGCATCATTATCAGCGCTACATGATTTTTCATATTCCACGGTGGTTTCTTTCTTAAAACCTTGAATTATCCATCATTGCTTCAAATAATTTTGTATAAGCTAAGATTTTTCTATTTTATTGAAAATTTCTTTGGTTAGAGTATTTATTTTATTATAAAAGTTATTGACATGTGTCTTGACTTTAATAAGCTTCAGATCAATATTCTTTTTCTTTATTAACTTTACTATTCATGCCAAAAAGATTAATTTTTTTCTTTTAACCATCTCTTATGTATTCTTTTTAATTTTTTTTTTTTTATCTTCCATTTAAAGATATAGGCCTGGCTATTTGTACAAATCTCAATAGTATTGTTGATAAAAATTATAGAATATAATTAGAATTGCTATCAGTTTGACTTTTATAAAAGAGGATCAATTGTTTATTTCTGTTTAGAACTTGTTTTCTCTTTCTATTTTTTCTATCTGATCCAAGTAACTTTTATTTTCAATTTTTTTTTTAAATCTAAGATTGTATTGATGTATTTTTATTAGTTGGTATTAATATACTTATTTTTTAATGTTTTTCTGATAATAGTTTTTTTTTTAATTTTTGATATCCATGTGATTTACTTTATTATTTTGAAAAGAAATCTTGAATGAATTCTAGTTATTGTAAATCACTCTTCTGATTATTTTTTAAGTACTGTCTTGAGATTTGGAATCTTTTGATCTTATGTTCTTTTAGTAGATTTTTTGGTATTGAGATATGTTATTATATACAGTATATCTCATTCATTCTTTTTTTTTTATGATACAACTATTGTTTTGTATTGTATCTTTTAAATATTCAAACCATTTTTATAAACTAATCTTTTAATTATCATCAATACTATAATAAATAAAATATTTATTATTGCTTTGTATTCTTCTTTTTTTTGTCTTAGCTTTTTCCAAACTATTTGATCCCTTTTGTTTCTTATTACTATTTTCAATTTATATTATTTGTTCCAATTGAGCTTTATTATGAGATATTTCAATTTTTCTTTGTATAATTTTCTTTTTAGAATTTTGTAAATTGCTATAATTGATTTTCTGAAATCATTCCGAGATAAATCTTTTACTTATATTCTATAGAAGTTAAAATATTTACTAGTTTCTTGCTTTTTTTTTTAGTTTTCTAATCCAATATTTAATTTATATAATATATATTAGTTTATTATTTATAAGTGATGATATGATCTTTCTATATTATTCTAGCATAATGTATTTTTTAATTAAATTGATTTTCTTACTTTATTCAAAAAAGCATGATAAAATAGGCAAACTATGGGCTATGCAACAAATTACTAAACAAAAAGGTATAATCAACCACAATGGCATGATAGCATATGCTTCAGAAATATATACCATACTGGACAGTATTATTGCCAAAATCCTAGAAATAGATAATACAATATTCTACAAGAAACAAATCTTTATACAACATATCACTTTTTTTTGGCATGAAGAAAAAAAAAGGAAGAGAATTTGCTTCAACCTTATATAGAAGATAGATATCTGGATATAATCAAAGAAAAATTGATAAAAACACCATTCATTCCAATGGAGATCACTAACTGATATAGAAAGTGGATCAATATTAGATAATGAAATAACAATGGTAAAGATCAAGAACAGGAGAAAATAGAAGCAGAAACTCTCAAAGGCAAAATTCAAGGTCATAATATAAGCAAGTGCAGCTCTTATACAACAAGAAACAGGCAAGCAACTCTAATATTAAACCCCTATTTCATAAACAAAAAGGGCAAATACAAAGTAGAGGCAATGATAGTCAATATTTCAGGGGATAATGAAGAAGAGACCAAAGTATACTTGGATAGCATATTAAAATTGTCACAAAATAAGTGCAACCTTCTTCACAAAAAATTTATCAATAAAAATGAATGATTGAGTTTTCATCTAGAGGAAGAAAATCTTCTCAAATATTTAGAAGAGATAAACAGAAAGAAAGAAGCTTTCAGTCTACAACAACTTGAAAACACAAGTACTAACCTAATACAGAATATAGAGATATTAGACAAAAAAATCTTTTGATCAAGAAAAAAGAAAGAGGAAGAGAATATATGGCATATTAGCCTAATAGATATAGCACACAAAACTTCACAACACTTTATAAAAGAATATCTCAAGAGATATGGTAAGGTGTGAAATATACATATCTACAAGGTCAAAACAAAAATAAGGGTCAAGACGTATATCAAATAGTATAACTATCTCAAGACAAATCTAGAAACATTATAGATAACCCCCTTAGAAACAAAAATTACTAGAGTCATCTTATTCAAGAAAGAATTGACAAACAGAAAGATCAATGATATTCTAATAGAAAGAAACAAAAACTCTACAAGACTATTAGGCATAAACAAGTCCTATTCAAGTTTGATAGCCAGGGCACTCAATGGTATAGAAGCAAAAGCATATTACATTTCAAGAAAACACTGAAAAAATAAAACTTCACAGTTGTATGCTTTGCAACAAGAGAGATCCTTAAAAAAGCCTATAAATAACATATTTTCTTACTAGGGCTACGTCTCTCATAGAGTGTTAAAAATACAGTAACAGAAAATAAAAAGATCTATAATACTGAAAAAAAAAAAGTTAAAGCACAAGATAAAAAAGTTGAAATAGATAATAAGGCATGTATAGGCTCATTATCTGATAACAAATCGATCAGTTCATCCTCCTTTTATAGTAAAAATTATCAATTTTCAAGAAGGCAATATCCAAGAAATTCATCTCCAAGAGAGCAAAGAAGATTCTACAGAACTCAAATTGGTAGGGAAAGACAAAGAAATAATGAAAGACTCAAGAACCTGACCACAGGAAGCAATAGAGATCCTATTGACAACCCAAGACCTAGCCAGTACAATAGTTTTAACAAGTACATATTAAATACAAAAACAGAAAATAAAGAAGATCCACTATACCATATCTTAAACAACTTAGAAAAGTTAAGTGGCAGAATAGCCAGACTAGAGGATAGAACAGCTCCTAATAGACAAATAAGATATTGTAGATGAAGAACAAATTGCTTCTAAAAAGGTGCACCAGTTGTTCAAGATAATGAGAGAAAAAATGAGTTCAATTTATTCCCAATAGAAATTTCAAAGAAGAGCAAACATCAACAAAAAGAGTATAATAGTGTACAATTAGATAATTCAGACCTAGAAAAATTCTTACAAAGTAAAAAAACTGACTTTCTGAACAAAAAAGGAAAAGAAAATGAAAAGCAAAATAACAACAGAGATGAGAAAAATGACATTGAAAAAAGAGTAATAAGAATAGGTACATATAATATAGGGGATATTACTGATATACTGTAACTAATCAATATAGTCTTATAGAAGACATAAATGAACAAGGTACAAGGATAATAGGATTGTGCAAGATCAAGCTAATACACAGTAATACAAAATAGGCTTTCTGTAAATAGAAAGAATACAAATACTTCCATAATACTAACAAAATTACTCCATATGGTGCAGAAATAAGTCTACTAATAAGAAAAGATCTCAAAAAACAAATAGTATCAGTAAAGAAGGCAGATGGCTATATGATCACTATCAACATGTTGACAAAGAAGAATAAAATCTGCATCATGCAAATTTACATCCCATCAGATAGATATAGACACAAGAAAGTATAAGATAATCTAATAAGTTATATTAGAAAAAAACATAGACAGGACTTTCCCACAATTTTAATGGATAACTTTAATGCAACATATAACCTATCAAAAAATAGAGCATTCTCATCTAGGGCATGTTTCAGACCCTCATGGCAACCTAAAATTCCTCTATTTAACTTTTCTGATGAATGGAGTTTTTTAGATATATAGGCAATATGAGAAGGGAAAGACAAAAATCCTACTAGGCAAGATGTTATAAGCAGTAGCAAAATAGATTTCATTTAGATGTTATAAAGCTTGGCAAAATACACAATCCTACGATTTGACAATTAAAACATGAAAGAAATTACCAGAAGTGATCATACTATACTTT